TCTAGTTTTAGTATCTAGGGGCATTCTGCAGTGAAGTCATCCACCTCTTCAGAAGTGCTCTCCTTTTCTATGGCCAGACTTATCTCCATTCTGTCTCACCCATCTTTCCTTGGCAGAAGCCTTAAATCCTCACAGCCAGCACACAAGGAAAAGACACAAAATTCACCAGTCATCAGTCCCCTCCTCCAACAACATTTAGAATCTAACCACTTGAATCTAGTTTCAGTGGTAACATTTCCTCAGGCAAAGTGTAATCATACATTCAGCACATCCCCTAAGACAAAATCCTGTGGCGACTGCCATAGGCCAGTCATATTAATATGAGTCTAGTGGACATAACTGAAAAGTTAAACATTAAAGCATAATATCAGTAAAAAATAAATCCTTTATGCCCTAACAAGATTTTACCGGTGTAACCTTTTTCCATTCATGCACATCCCCTCCCTCTCCCGTTCTACCCCCGAGTCCAGGAACAAAGGCTCTTGGCAGTGTCGATTCTCTGGCCTCCCGCAAAGCGTATCCAGCAGTCCTCTGGCTGTGGATACCATCGAGGGTCGCCTTGGGCGCACCTTGCTTCTCCTGGCACACCCGCTGGGTACTGTTCTCCTGGACTTTCCTCTGCGCCGCTGCGGCCTGCTCTTCCGACCACTCCACATTGTCCCTGGGAAAATGAAACAGGCAGCTGAGGGGTCTCACGTTCCAGCTGCGGACAGGGTGAGGGGCTGGCTTCGGAGCACCTCTTCTGGGGGCGCAGAACGACTCGACTTAGGGCAACGGGACTTGTAGCTGGCGGGCAGGGGGTTCTCGGAGAGCTCCAGGGAGGAGGGACAGAGGGTGAGCCGCGGGCCGATGGAGGGGAAGGGCGATTACCAGGCATTGTAGTGGAAGACACGAGCCGGATCGCTCAGCAAGCGGTTCCCGAACTGCTGCCTCTTCTTGCCGTCCTCCGTGGACGAGCCTTCAGTGAAAGAATCTGCCATGTTACCGGACCCGGAAATACCTGCCTCTCCGTAAGGCCAGAACTTCCTGCGGGACCACGCCCCCTTCCGGGAGGCAACGGGTCTGGGCGGGAAAAGACGGAGGCTGGGTAGGGCGGCCCAGGTGGCGGGTCTCCGGGTGGCGCTCTAACTCTTCCGGGTGGGGTTGGTCTTGAGTTGTGCAAGGGCTTTGGTGAACGTGCGTGGTGGCAAGAAAGTGGGAGACGTTCCACTTGAGCCCTCTTTCAATGCTGGGATCCTCCAACAGGCTCCCCTATTTCACTCAAGTTGCAAGATAGGAAAAATCTTGAATCACTTTTGAGAACTAAGGGTACCTAATTCCACTGTAGAACTAATAATGCCCAAAAGGATTGAGGAAGGTAGCTGGCAGGGTGAGGAAATAAGACAATTTTCCAGCCTCTAGAATCAGCTTTTCATACTGTGAAAGCTATGAAATATATATATTCTTCCCATTATTTTTCTCGGGGAAGGATATGAAATAAATAACCAATGAGAACTTTAAACATTTTTTAGCTCTGGCTGGTGTGGCTCAGTGGATTGAGCATGGGCCTGAGAACCAAAGGGTCACCAGTTCCATTACTAGTCTGGATACAAGCCTTGGTTGTGGGCCAGGTCCCCAGTGGGGGCGGGGGGGGGGGAGGGAGGGGTCTTGTGAGAGGCAACCACACATTGATGTTTCTCTCCCTCCCTTCTCCTCTCTAAAATTAAGATAAAATCCTTAAAAAAAAATTATAACCTAATAACCTGTTTGAATTATCCATACCTAAGCTTATTTGCCCAATCAAGACTTAACTCATACACAGATATAATTTTTGTTAATACAGTTCACCCTCACATTTCTATTTCAATAATTACTACAAACTGATTCTAACAAGAGTCTCTTAGAAGAAGGTATGCTGTCAATAAAGATAAGGTTAACTGAGAAGACTTCCAGAAGAGTAATGATAACCATTTGGAAGGAGAGAAGAAAAGAGTCAGTTATTTGAATAGTGCCTTACTGGAGTTAGCACACCATGATAACCAGTGATCATTTAGTCCAATGCAGATTCTTTCCCTGGCCAAAACTAGGACACACAATGAGAGATTCTATACATCTCCCACGACAGAAATGGGAACAACCCCAAAATCCTCTCTAATCACAAAGAAAAAGACACAAGAGAATAAAAAAAGATAAGATAGTAAAGAACTTGTACTTTATTTGAAGACAAAATACTTTTGCCACTGTTGTGGTCTTTTGAAACATTTTGAACAAAACCTCCTTTCCAAATAAGTACGAGTATTTTTATCTTTTCTCAAGGACAGCTGTTTACAGATTTGATGGTTGATTTATACTTATTATTGGCATCTTGTTCTCTCATCTACAAGCTTTTCTTCTCCCTCACACCAAAATCTGTTAGGGTTCCCACCAATCAACAGTCCCAGTGCGTAATTTCCTACAGAGAGCTCACTCTTGAAGTTACTTATTACTATATTAGTTCCAATAATTCGAGTCACTTAAAATGTCAAACAACTTGGGCTCTATTGATAAAATGTGTTAAAGTATCCTACACTTAACTTTTATGCCATTGTCTTTGGTTGGGCTGTACAACTCAATTTTCGTTATCTTTTGGGGCACCTAAAATATTTTTTTCCCCAAGAAATTTGGAAGACAAAGCTGAGTCCTGTGTGGTTATCAGACTGCTTGCCGCACTACGTTTCAGAGGAGCTAAGGGTCCCCCTGCTGGTGAGCAGTGAGAACTCTTCTAGCTCAGTGGGTGGCATGGGTTCAAAGGATGTAAAAGGTTAAGAACTCCTTTGGATTATTGCCTTGGCTGTCAACCGGGCACAAGGCAGTTAATTGTTTCATGCTTTTCTTTCCGTTTCAATCAGTGGAAATTCTGGTCTGTGTAAGTCTGTGCTCTGGAACTGAAGGGCCAGGGATGGCACCCTTGGTGCCCCAGTTTGCTCTCCTTGAGGTTTCACAGAACCTGCGGGACAGCATTTGCAGCAGCTCTAGATAATTGAATAAACTGGTTTAAAAGCTTTAATTTTAAAACAGATTTTGTCCTTTTTTCTTATTGAAAAATAAACGTTTGTTGTAGAACATTTAGAAGATGCAGGTAAGACAAAAGAAAAAAAGAAAATACCCCATCCCATCCTTAATTTAACCCATTACACACTTTGGTTTATATCCTTCCAGTCTTTTTTTCTAATTTACTTATAGAAATAACTTTTAAGTTAAAGTATTTTTAGAGCAAACTGCTTTGTATCTCTCTTTTTAAGACCTTCATTGAGGTAAACTTTATATACAATTAAGTTAATCCATTTTAAGTGTACGGTTCAATGAGTTTTTGTAAAAATCTATATTTGCACAGCCACCACCATACTTAACTTTAAGAACTAACATAATAAAGTTTTCTCATACCTCTTAGTGGTTATAGCCTGCTTGTCAACCTAATAATTGCTTGTGAATATCATTCTTTGGTTTGAAATATTTTTTACAACATCATTTTGATTATCATGGTATTGTTTTATATAGCTGTACCATGATTTATTGGACATTGAGGCTTCTTTAAGTTTCTTACTTAAAAATTCAACATGACAAACATCCTTGTAATGAAATCATTTTGTACATTCATTCATGATTATTTCTTTAGGAATAATTTCTAGAAGTGAAATTATTGACATCAGTGATTATAATTACCCCATGATTAAGTTCTGTGAGGTCAGGGTATTTTATCTGTTTGTTTAATGTTGTATGTCCAGATCCTATGCAACTTGATACGTAATTGATGAGTGAGTGAGTGAGTGAGTGAGTGGCTGAGTACCCCTGGCTATACTGTATTCCATCAGAGAGATGACAGTTTATACTGTCACCAACAGTGTGTGGCATGTAGTAGAATATATTAGTGTACATTTTAGATTTTTCTAGGACAGATCTATTTAAAATATTATGCTATTATTCCATTGATCCAAGGAAATATTCCAAGAATTCTAATATTTTGGCATCCAAATTATATCTTAAATTTCCAGTTACACTTACAGCCATACCCCAAAAAATGTCTCTTATAAAACCATAAATCTTGGGGTTTTTTGTTAGAAAACATGGTCATTTATCTATAAAGTTATTTTCCCCAAGATCATAATATTATAAAGAACAGCAAGTATATTTAGATGGTTTTGAGTGTTCAAGGTAACACAAAATTACTTCAAGGTGGTTTCATTAAACAGTTTTGGGAGTCTTCACTCTTTTCATTGCTTTTTCCTGGAACATTATAATTTCACATTATAAGCCACTGATACTATCAATATGGAACATGTCTTTTCCCTTTTCTATAAGGGAAAAAAGTGAAATGGATGATACACACTGAAACATGATTCAAATAGCAAGTTTAATGTATATTTTCCCACAATAAAACAATTACAACTGCCCCACTTGTAATATAGTTATATATGTGCTGCTTTATAAGTGCAATAAAGAACAATGATAAGAAATGTAACAGGTAACATTAGCTACTTTTAAGAGTGTTCCAAGAGATTGCCCTAGGAACACCCAAATTTAATCAGGATTCCCTGGGGGATGTTGACATTATTCCCTGAAACTGAAAGGTCATTGTTATCCCCTGCCTCTGGCCATTTTGACAAATAATTAAAAACCTAATGCCATTTGCAGTCACATCCACTAGATGCCTATTGCTGGGAGGGCCCTTATGGACTCTCAAGGGCAGCTCCTGGTGTGGAGGGAGGTGCCTGCTGCCATCTTTCTCCTGCACGGGCAAAGTTGAGCCAGGTGGGGGCCCCAGAGTGCAGCTCTTGCTAGGGAATTAACAGAGTGGCATCTATTTACTAGTAAGAATTGGAAAAGGGAAACCATATTATGACTTAAATTTTTTTACTGGTCAGAATTCAAAAGATGTCAACATTTCCAGCTGCTAAGAATGTACTAGACAAAAGCAAGAAACGATAATTTTGATATCTATGAAAAAGTAGTTTTCAATGAGCTGCTTAGAAAATGTAGAAAATTCATTGTCGATACCCTTTGGAACCTTTCCATTTTCTTCTTCTTCCTGCCTCTGTGTCACATTCACTGATGTCCGAAGAGGAAGAGAATGAAGAATTGTGGAAGGAATTTCTATTCACGCAGGCATCATATAACCTTAAGTCCTTTGGGGAAAGTAATTCTTGGCAAACATTCCAGGACCATGTGTAAGTAGAAAATGTGTCATAAAAGGACTCATTTTTAGTGTCTATTCCAACCAAATCTCCTCGGATCTTCTGCCAGAGGTTTAACATTTCTTTCCGGTGCTCAAGAGCAGTTCCTAAGTTATAAGTATCTATAGCTCTCTTCACCTGCAGTGAGAAAGCAGAAGTTTACAGTAGTTATCATAAAATATCTTTGATTTGTGGACCACAATTCTAGATATTCCAAGAGTTATGTTCCTAGGCTACTTGAAAGTCACTGAGTTTATACATTGGGTAGTGCCTCCTGAGGAATTAGGAGTCTACAGAAAATGAAAATAAATTACTTTGGAATAATGAGATAATACATTTTATAAGAATATTAAAAACACAAGAGTCTACAACAAGGAGGAAATGTGGGATGGAGGTAGGCCATGAATATAATAGGAATGCCAAGGATGGTTCTTGGTCCACCCTAGGTCAGGGAAGGAGAGAATGCTGGGCTGAGTAGGTCCTCAGGGATTTGGTGAAACTGAGGGAGTGGTGATGGGAAGGTGTTTCAGGAGATGGGATAGCATAAGCAAAGGCGCAAAAGCAATAAACATCCTGGTGTTGGTGGGGAAGAGGGGTAAAGCACTTTGGCATTGATAAAGCATCAAGTTCAAAGTGGGAGGGAGTGATGAAGGCAAGGCAGGCAAGGCCTGCTGTAACCAGACCCTTAGACTTGGTCTCATGAGGCTGGAGAGATCCTCTCCTCAGTGGGAATTATGCGGTAGTAAGCCACTCTTTCTGATGGACATGAGATAAACCCCTCTGTGTGCATCGTCAGTGAGAGGGAAGCATCATTCTGAAACAGGACAGTGACATAATTGGATCTTCATGTTAGATCGTTGGCAGCCATGTGGAGAATGGACAGAGGGGAGCAGCTACGGGGCAGAGACACAAGGTGGGAGGTTGTTGTCCAGGCTGGACCTAATGAGGGCCTCAGTTAAAGCAGTAGTGAGAGGATAGAGTAAAGGGGACAGGCTTGAAAAATCTTCCTGTGAATGAGAGTAGTCAATTTGGGAACTGGTGCATGTGAAGAGTGAAGAAAATGTGTAAGTTAAGAATGGCCCCTGGCTTTCTAGTTTCAGTGGTTGGGTAGATGGTGGTATCAACAACTGAGATACAGATTCCCCAAGGAATAGCCAGTCTGATGCAGATGCCAAGTTCGGTTTTGGACATGTGAAGTTCGATGTGCTATGAAACAGCGAGGTGGAAATGTGAGGCAGTCAGTGAGGTAAGACAGAAGTACTGGAGAGAAGTCTAAGCTAGTGGCAGATTTATGAATTATCAGTATTTAGGTGGCAGTTAAAATAAGGAGGGTAGATTGACAGTCCAAAGAATACTCATCCTAGTTTTTCCTTCACTTAGTGCAGAGATCCTCAATGTTCTGCTGGGACTGGGTTACAGGTATGCCAAAGTCTTGATCTCCCCAAGCATCTCAGCCCTTGGGGCAGCTGGTGCGCCAGGCTGGAGGCCTCAGGCTGTAAGTAACCTCCATTTAACCCAGTGTAATATGTGCCATGATGAGAGAGGATGGGAACCCCCTCCTTTGCACTCCCAACATGCAGCACAGACCACCTGTAGCTCCATGTATCCCAACGTATTACTATTGCTCATTTCTTTCTCCATGTCTTCCACCCTTACTGTAAGTTCACTGAAGTTAGGAACTGTGTTGTTTTTTTTTTTCTCTGTGATCTCTCCTAATCCCAGAACTTTGTTGATACTGGGTAAATATTGACTGAAGAAATGGGTGGACAAGTGTGTACAGTGAGAACAGGGGCAGGATGAGACTAGAAAAGAAGGAAGCATCAGGACTTTGAGGATGAATGTTCAGGAAAGAGAAGAAAGAGGAATGGACACAGAACTACAAAGTGAATTAAAGATGCAATTTGGTAAAGGCCAAGGAAGTAGAAAGTGTCAAGGAAAGCTTGATCATTAGTGTCAAATACAGAAGGGAGGTTACATAAAAGAAATAAACCCTGGTCTGTCTCTGTGGAGTACAAAAGTTGCTAAGGAGTCAGGACACAAAATTAGACAGGCAGCACAGAGTTGTGGTTAAAAGGGTGGATGCTGGAGCCAAGCAGCAGGTGTTTGTAACTCTGGCTCTATTATTGCCTAGCTGTGTGCCTCTGGGCAAATCACTTAACCTCTCTGTGCATATCTGTAAAATGATAAGGAATGATAATGGTGCCTACCTCAAAGGATTGTTGAGATAAGTAAATGAATTAGAGCACTTGTAGAACACAGTGCCTGGAAGCTAGGAAGCTCACTTAAACTATTATTACTATTCTTTTACTTTTAAATCCTCACTTGAGGTTATGTTTACTGATTTTAAAGAAAGAGAGGAAGGGGAAAAGAGAGAGAGAGAGAGAGAAACATCAATTGATCGTCTCCTGGATGCCCCCAACTGCAGATAGAACCCTCAATCTAGGTATGTGCTCTGACCGGGCATCGAACTCACAATCTTTTGGTGTATGGGACGACACTCCAACCGAATGAGCCACCCCATCAGGGCCTATTTTTCTTTTAGCTGCTGTGATAAAAGCTCTGTAACTCATCATGATTCTCTGAGTGCACTTCTCACTGTGACTGTCAGTTTAATATCCTAACTAGTTGCTATTTCTAGCATAAACAAATTAATGTCCCAGAAATGCTGCAGGGTGTGGCTCCATAGGTGATTAGCAGGGTGATTTATAAGTTAACGTTTGAATCCGTTTGGTTATAGAGCAGGAAACATCATTACAACAGGTAGAAATGAGAAATGATCTTGTCTCATTTTAAAGACATAGAGGAGAAACAAACTCTCTTGGTTTTATGGTTGTAGTACCAAAGTGGAAAATATTTTTGTCAATGCCTTTTGGGAAGGCATTCAACAGCGACTACTCACATGCGGTTTAATGGCAGCTGCATCAGTCACTGTCCAATTCTGTCTTCTCTTGAGTATTTGGTCAATGGTGAGGATGTCAGCTGAGTAGCCTGAGGCAGAGTTAACACGCTTTATTTTTGCTGCCTTGATGCACATTTAAAAAAGAAGGTTAGTGATATATTTTAGTTTGAATTATACAACAAAGATATAATAAACAAGTATATTGTATCATGAAAGAGTTTGTATATGATTTATAAGGTTATTGTTTAAGCACTTGTCAGGTGTTCCAGGGCCCCTGATTTTGTCCCATGTGTACATGGGCATCTTGCAAGTTCTCTTTCATAATGAGGAAGCCTACTCAAAAGAGAAGTAGAGGCCAGAAGATGTGGAATGGACATGGAGGGTAGAGAGGAGCCAAAGCCATCCTTACCCAAACTTTCCACACCATCACAAGCACTGAAAATGAATGTGCCCACCACAGAATGCAACCTGCATTACTTCCAGACTTCTCATGGGAACCAGCCATGTCCTCCTCGTTCCTGGGCTGCTGACCAGTGCGGTGGAAATCATGGGAATACGCTGACTGCTTTCTTTGAAAATGTGTATTGCCTCATTTCATGCAGGCCCGCAGTACTGTTTGGCATTATTTTTCTTCATTCACTGTTAATTCTCTTACAATCTTCACGTGATGGTTGGAAAACCAGACCTTCCGTCTCCCTCCGCTTATCTCTTCAAGGCTATCTAATATAAATTCTTTTTATTCTTCTTTCCACTTTAGGACTTCTCTATCCTTGAAACTATTTTTTCCTCCTTCCCTCTTATATGTGTTTTTCTTAATGTTCAAGGCCAACTCTCCCCTGTATCTTTATTTATTTGCCTCCTGGATGATATCCCTTCAGCTGTCCTCTTTCCAAGGCTAACTTCAAGGATGTGTCACCTATACAATTACATAGGACCTCAGACTCAGAAGGGCCATGAACTTGGTTTAATGTTCCACTGTTGCTGTATTAATATTCTTAATTATTTTTGGACAAGGGGCCTGCATTTGCATTTGGCACTAGGCCTTGGAAATTATGTAGAGAGATCTGTCCCCTGGTCCCCAGTTTCTCTTTTGAGCAGTGATTTTCAGCTTTGGCTGCATGATGGAACTTTAAAAGATACTGATGCAAGGGCCCATTCCCAGAGATCTGATTTAATTGGATAGGGCTGTGGCCTGGGCATGAGTTGTTTTTAAAGTGCTCCCACGGGGCAGCCAAGATTGAGAACCAACGCTCTCAGGGTCCTTCCTCCTCCTAGCTACAAATGTGCTCATCCCCCATGTCCTGAAACAACTTTTTCTAGACTCTGATTCTATAGCCAGCTGTAATTACCCATCTCTCTTCCTGAACAGTTGAATTTTTTTTCTAAGAGGAGATGATTTCCTTTTTGGGGGATGGCAGGGGTCTGCTTTATTAGTTTCTGGAGATGCATGATAAAAATTTCCCATTGTAATAATGGGTTTGCCTATTCATTTAGCAATTATCCTTACATTGGGTAAAAGTGAGAAATTTTAAGGCAAGCATAATTTGCATGGTACACACAGGCTCAGGATAATAGTATCTTCCTGATGCTTTTTAAGAATCTTTTAAAAAAGATTTTATTTATTTGTTTTTAGAGAGAGGGAAACCTCAATGGGTGAAACATTGGTTGCCTCTTGCATGCCCCAAGCAGGCAACCCAGGCCATGTGCCCTGACGGGGAATTGAACCAGCGACCTTCTGCTCTGAGGGATGACGCCCAATCCACTAAGCCACACCAGTTAGGGCTTAAAAATCTTTACATAGCATATTTATCTTTAGCTATTTTTCCTTAAATTTTACTTTTCCTCTATTAATCTATCGATACCAGCTTACTTTAGTTTGTATTTGCTTCATATATTTTTGCTGTCCCTTTACTTTTAAACTTTTTGAGCCATATTTTAGGTGTGTCTTCCATAAAAACATCTATCTGAAAATTATTTTAAAAATCAGAATTCTTATATTCCAGTTGGAGAGACTGACGATAACCAGTCAGGCATCCCAGGTAGAGGGGCCAATGTTGGGAAATAAGTTTAAAGGGAATAAGTGTCCTCTGTTTCCATCTCGTCAGTGACATTTGCCTGTGGGTGTGGTTTCATTTGAAGAGATAAAGACACAGTCTTAAACTCTAGGTCATTGGTGATCATCACAGGGCTCTTCATTTTATTTACTTATTTTTTATTTAAACGATATACTTGTTGTCTCATTTATGTAAAAATTCCAGAAATGGGACTTCAGGCATGGGCTTGGTCCAGAGGTTCAGAATGTCATCAGGGTTTCAGGTCTATGACTTCGTGACCCTCCACATTTTAGGCTTCATCCTTAGGTGTGCTTCTCTTCTGTCATAGGGCTGCCTGCTGCCCCAGCGCTATAGTTTCCTCATCCATATCCAGGGGGAAAGACAGCTTCTCTTGCCCCAAATATCAAACAGTGGTTATACACTTCCCTCTGGTTTGACCAGCCTAGATCACCGACCCATCACCAAAGTCACTGTGACTCAGGAAATCTGATTCCTTGATTGGCTCGGATCAATCAGGATGGATGACTTCGGCAGCTGGGGGTAGAGTTAAAGCCTCTCAAACCAGAAAGCTGGGGGATTTCTTGTCTTCTTAAGGGTGGGGAAGAGGAATGGATATTGAGAGAATCCACTGGCAAATCCACTCCTTTGGTTTCCTCCTTTCTTCCCATACACACACCTTTAAAAGTTTATGCCTTCATGAACCACATGCATCTCTTTTTCAAAAGGAGTTATCCCAGGTCCCATCTTGAACTTCAAATCCAAGATCTGTGATGTATCCTTCCCCAGGTCAGTTTTTAGGTAGAACTCTTCACAGTCATCATAGGACTCTTTAAAAATTTTTAGAAATTTTTATTGTGATAAGAACTCTTAACGTGAGATCCACCCTCAACACAGTTGTTAGTGTGCAATACAATATTAACTATATGCACAGTGTTGTAGGGCACGTCTCTCTAACTTATTCCCCTTGCATAATTTTGACTTCATGCCCGTTGATTAGCAACTTCCCATTTTTTCTCTCTCCTCCAGTTCTGGGACTGATAACTTTTGCCTGGGGGGAACTTTTAGGGATCTCACAGTGATGGGAAGAACACATGGACCTCTGGAACCCAGAGGTACTCCACCAGGGAGGCTGGTCTCCAGTCAAGTTTTGCTCTTGTTTCTCAGGTGGAGAGGCATGTGACAAACCTGGGGTAAGGCCACAGCTTCCTGAAAGAATATCCAGAAACTAGGGCATACTTGCCTGAGACCTTAAAACTTATGAGGATAAAGTACTCCTTGGGTGGGGAGGTGGGGCAAATAGATTAGAGGCAACAGAGCTTGAAACAGGGTCAGAAGGTTCAGCTGGGATTATAAATAGGGTTCTAGTCCAAGGGCAAGATGGCCCCTGCATCACAACATTGCTCCATTGGGTTGTGGACTTGGTTCTTTCATCCCATGGTGTGTGGCCCAACCATGATCTGGAGACAGTTGAGGGAAACCACAATGCAGCTTCTGGGTCCTGAGTTGATGGGAGAGCAGAGCAGTTGGAGGTAGGACCTGAAGTCCTCTTTGTTATTATTCTTATATTCCCCACTCCCAACCCCAAGCCTAGGAATGTATTTTTCAGTAAGTTTAACTGTGTGTTGAAATTAAATAAAATATTTATACCTGAGTTTTAACTTAGGAATATGTGTGTGGAATCTGGTTTGACATACAATGACTGAAAATATTTGTCATTAAAAAGCATGTTATACCCTGGCTGGGTAGATCATTTGTTTAGAGTGTCACCCTGATATGCCGAGGTTGCGGGTTTAGTCTCTAGTCAGGGCACATACAAGAATCAACCAATGAATGCATGAATATGCGGAACAACAAATTGATGCTTGCTTGCCTGCTTCCTTCCTTCCTCTTTCTCTCTCCCTCTCCCTCTCACTCTAAAAAATCAATCAATAATTTTTTTAAAAAGCATGTTACTAGTTCTATTAAGTTAGAATTTTAAAACACAAGTATTTAGATTGATGTGACATAATTTAAATCTCACCTGTATTTTCCAATCTCTTTTATGGAAAAAATAGTCCTCAAAGAAATTCAGAGGCTCCTTTCTCCTTAGCATTTCTAATTTCTGTATGTCTTTGAATGGCTTTCCCAATACCACTCCATCCTCATTAGGAAACAGTGGAAAGATGGGTATTTTTGCATATGGATTATCTGAAGGAGGATTGCATCCTGAAAAGATTAAAAAAATGTTACCACCAATAACATAAGAAATTCACATTAAAGACATACACATGGCATCTATTTTGTTCTTTGTCTTTTCTTCTCAGTGCCATGACCCATCTTCTTCACTCTCCTGTGCCCCCGCCCCCACCCCTCCACACACTCGCAGCTTCATTCAGGTGTCTGAGGACTCAGGAAAAACATGCATTTGCTTTTAAAGATAGCTGGGCAACAGAGACCAGTCACTCAAAATAGGCTGTGGTCCTGCTCTTACAGCACTTGTCCTCTGGTACTTATCTCTGACGAGTAATGTACAAATAGATCCTGTACAACAGTGGGGAAGTGGGTCTTACTCTTGAGCTCCTCAAGATATTTGAGTACATCCTTTTCTTTCATGACTGAGATCTGGGCAGCATTAACAAAGGCGGCCGTGCTCGAGCTCAGAGGTGTGCAGACTTCTGGCTGAAATCTCCTTTTTCCATGACCCGCAGTGTGGGGACTCCACAATATACCTGAGGTGCTTTCTTGGAATGTTCTTCGGAAATACCTAAAAAATATATATATAATCCAGAAGTGAATAGAAATTGCTATAGTTCTACTGAAAATGTGCCTGAGTGTTAGACAAATAGGGAAAAAATAACAGGCTATGAGTTATGCTGTATACATTTATACATAACATAACAGGCTATGAGATGCTGAATACATTTATTTTAAATTTAATTTGTATATTCATTCATTATTATTTATTGAGTGCCTTTTTCTGCAAGTTATAGACTGTCCACTGATAACTGCCACAGGCCATTTGACTATATTTTTAAAGGAATATTTATTAGACAAGTATCATTTAGCACAATATACCTAAAAGCAAATAATAATACAATGAAAGATTTAAATCAAGGCCTCAGAATTTCATACAAACACCAAGACCAAAGTCCTAAAGTATTGGTATTTGCATTTCAATTTTTTCTCACTAACTTAAAAAAATAGCTTAAATTTACATGGCTTAGAAGTTATTAAATGTAACTAGAATTAACAAACATGCTAAGTGTTTCACTTCTAATTGTAGACACAGCTCCTATACTGAGTTTTCAAAAAAAAAAATAAGCATGTCTTTCAACATGCATCCAGTGTTCAATGTAATGTGATATAAGAGCTACATTTAACATAATTCAACTGTTTTACCCTAAATACATTTACTGCTTAAGTATATCCTACAATAGAACTAACTTGAGAAAAGCTAACAATCGTTTAACAGCTATAGTTTACTCAACTGAGTTGTTACCCATTTGACTGTTTTATGAATGTAGTCCCTGGGCTTTGGCTTCCTCCCTTTTCCCAAAGACCTTCTGGTCTTGTCTAGAAAAACACCTATCAGGTATGATCCTTGGCAAACCCTTAACTGATACTGGCTTAAATACTAACACTAATTATTCCTATTTTGTGTTAGATTTTTAAATGCAACATTTTTTGAGAATTTTTATAAGAATTTATTTGCACTGATGACATATATTGATTGGTGAGCAAGATCTCAAATAAAAGGCAACATTTTTTAAATTAAAAAAACTCTTATTGCAGAGAGTTTGGAAAATAGAGAAAAGTATGAAGAATAAAACATTACCAGTAACCTTACTATCCATGGTAAATCACTGTTGATTGCAATGCTTTGCGATTTGTATGTGTATGCGCCCGTTACTGTGTTTTTTAGGTTATACATTCTTTAAGAATAAGCAGAGCAAGCTATATATGATATAGGACAGTGCAAACATCCCCCAAATGTATAAACATCTGACTTACAAACATGCAAAGCTTATAGATCAATGATAGATCTTTTTTTATTTATTTACTGATTTTAGAGAGAGAGAGACAGAAATATCGATTTGTTTTTCCACTTATTTATGCATTTATTGGTTGATTCTCCTATGTGCTTTGACTGGGGATCAAACCCACAACCTTGGCATATTGGGATGATGCTCTAACCAGCCAAACTACCTGGCCAGAGCCTGCATTTACACATCAGTTATCAATACATCATACCAGTGCAAAATGGCTGACTATAAGGACTGATATGTATTTTTGAGACACTGTTACACCAGTGTCACGTTTTCAGCAATGAAGAATCTCTGGTGACAGACTCTTCCTTGGGAGAGGAAGGTAATAGGGAGGGGCCTGAGAGCTGGGATTTTAACTTGAGTGTGATAGGAAGCCACAGGACACTTATGATCTGAATTATGTTTTAAGAATATCACTCTGGCTGATGTGTTGAGAGGTATTTTGGGAGGCATGAGTAGAAACCTAGTGTTTGTTTGTTTGTTTGTTTTGAGATCAGACAAGAGGTAACTATATGAGAATATTGGGGCCCAGAAAGTTTGCATGGCTGGTTTCGAGTCACCCTGCACAAGTTTGGTCCCAGTTCCCAGGAGTCTCAACGTTGGCTGCACACAGGTTCTGGGGATGTGGTGCACTCTCTCAGAGGTCCTCACTACTCTGCCCCTCACAGTTGTCCCTTCCAACTGGGACAATTCTAACATTGGATGATAGACAACAGAAGTGAAAGAGCATGCAAATAGCACAGTGCTGAAAGGGCAGAAAAGCCTGAACTTTCTTAGCTGTCTTATGCCCTGAGTGGGAAGCTGAGATGGCCTGGGGTTGGCCTTGCAGTTTCAGAGCAAGGTGGCGCTGCGGGGTGAAGGAGTCCTGTCTCATCTGCCCCGTACCTTCTCCTTTGTGTTGGAACAGACCCTGTGACATGGGATGTTAGTGAGAGGTGACTGCCTTGTGAGTGTCCCCATATGTGCTTCTGAGGAGGTCATTTTTGCACCGTTCTTTGTCACTTACCTTACTATTTCCTTTGTAGCCTTTTTGGGTAAGGCTGAAGTCTCTATAAGCTTTGACAGGATTTCAAACAACAGAATTCCTGGGTTGCCAGCTAAATCTAAACATTTCATTTTTTCTGGAACTATAAAGGAAAGAAAAGATCCAAAATGCCTTCTAAAAAAATCATCTATCAAGAAAGTACTAAAATGACAGTCTTTTTATTGTATATACAAAATTATTACCAAATTAAGGACTTGAGAATTATAGGAAAACATTCAACATTTGTTCTATTGTAGAAAGGTAGAAAGGTCATTTTTATTACTGAACAGACAAAATAATCATGGAATTGAAAAAATACTTTTAGTTCGATGGCTTCTAAGTAAACATAGTATTACATTTAACATAAACATGAATTTATGTTAAGGACCATTTCCTTGCTCTAAGCAAAAGGAGTTGTTGGTAAATATACATCTGGTTTGCAGATAAACACTTGTTACTATAGTGGGTACTTGAAGCAGTAATTTTGTTTGTCCTAAGGACAGTTCATAGCCTGTGAATGGCTATATTTTCAAAACAATATACAGTATCTGGAATTTGGAATGTATTTATCCTAGAAAATGTGACATGTATAAGATTAGATTTTCCAAGGCTCCTGTTAAACTCATAAACAAACCATTAGAGGACTAATAAAAATATTTCGAGTTTACCTTCAAACCGTTCATAACCTTAGGTGAGAGCAGGCTCTCTGACCTCCAGCAGGCTCCCTGGCCCTGGGCACCAGGGTAGATTCTTCATCAGGGGAGGAAGGTATTTTTAAGGAACAGTAAATTATCTACACCCAATTTGCATGAGAAAGAGCATTTTTTCTATTTTTTTTCTTTTGTAAAAGCAGTGCCTCTCAAAGTAGCTCATGTGCTTGATAAAGAATTAAAATACTATAAAGGGTAACCTTTCTACACCACTGCTAGAGGACTCTCATTAGAGATCAAAAAGTAGTATCTCCTGCAGAAGGACTTGGTGCATTTAAATGAAAACTCCAAAACTGTTATCAATTTGCTTAGCAAATGCTGTTTTGGAGAAGCAGCACAAAAGTAAATCACATTCCAGAATACCCATTCATTTTTTTAAAAAAGATTTTATTTATTTATTTTTTAGAGAGGGAAGGAAGGGAGAAAGAGAGAGATAGAAACACCAGTGTGCGGTTGCTGGGGGTCATGGCCTGCAACCCAGGCATGTGCTCTGACTGGGAATAGAACCTGTGATGCTTTGGTTCGCAGCCTGCGCTGAATCCCTGAGCTACGCCAGCCAGGGCCAGAATACCCATTCTTGATTTGTCTCCTGATTGGAGGCCAAAATGAATACCCTATTTGTCCGACTATAAGACATACTCCCCCTAAATTTGGGAGGAAAACGGGGGTGCGTTTTATAGTCCGAATGAGGCTTACCTGGCTCACTGGGGCAGGGGGGCAGGGGGCGGCCTATGTTATTTATGTTATTAAATATTTTACCACAATTTTTGCTTCAAATTTTTTTCCCTATTTCCCTCCTCTAAAACCTAGGTGCGTCTTATGGTCCTTTGAGTCTTATAGTCCTAAAATACAGTAACATTTACTATGCAGTGAATTGCAACTGCTCAACTGCTATCTATTCAGTCCTGTGTCTACTTACCCACAGCCTTAAGGAAGCGGTTCTTATCTGTTAGCACCTTGATAAAGTCTGAGAAATTTACTTTCCCATCTCCTGCAATGGAAATCAAAGGCTCAGAACAAGAACCTAAGATGTATTTTAATGATCAGATTGCATATTAAATATAACAATGAAAACATTATGGATCATTCAGTACTTAACATCAGAGCATTCTGGGGCTGGAGATATGCTCAGGGAACACTGGTCTTCTTGAAGTGGCCTTGGCACTCTCACGCCAGCCATCCACGGCCCACGGACGGAAGCACTGGTGGGCTGTAAACATGGAGCCGTGGGCTCCCAGCCATGATGGTCCTGCCCATTCACTCCTTTCCAACAGACTGGTCATTTTTGCAAAGATCCACTCTGCCTTCCACTCCATACTGCGAATATTTCTGTTATTATAACATCCCCAAGTTGTACCTCACTTCCTCTAAAGTTAAGTGCTATTAGTCATGTGTGTGTGTTTCCATAAAAGAATAGAAAAACTGAGCAGTTAGTGGCAACAAGTGAAGCTCTAACCAACTGGTGACATTGATGCATATGTGGAACTGGCGCTCACATGGGGCACTGCCAGCTGCGGGGGAGCGGCGAGAGGAGGAAATATGCCGAATTTATTTCCCCACAGTGTATCAGTTTGGTCACTAGGACCTCACAGTCACTAGGTCAGTATATCCAAAGAAAACATGGTCTATGTGTTATAAAAATACCAACAAACATGCTGCGGCATTTGAAATTCAACATAGGTGGGTTGTAATGATGGAAGGAAGATTCGCACTAATACGATGCCTACAGAAACAAAGGGCTTGGATTTCCTTGGTAACATGAACTGTGAAATCGTCAATGCCTTTGTAACATATATTCTTATTTTAAGGCACCCTCCAAAATGTACATCATGACAGGCAATCTGAATTTGACATCGAAAGATTACAACCACTTTTAGTTTCCACATAGGCTTTTTCAAAGGAGCATTAAATTGATTTCATAACCTGTACACATACCTCACTGATGTCCTCAAAGAGAAACACACACATAGGTACGTTTGGCAAAGAAGTGAGGTTTATTTTTCATATTCATACACTTCCTGGGAGAAAAGTGTATATTTACAAAAAGCTTCTATGAGAAAAATAATGACAAATAAAAGTACTCACGATCGATATCAGCATATTTTAACTCATTAGAAACATCATGCATGTTTAGACTTATTCCCAACTTAGCTAACGTGCACATCAATCCATGCAAATCAATAGAGCCAGTTTTGTCCCTGTTGAAGAAGTTGTAGGCTTCTTGGAAGGCTGGAGAAATGCAATTAAGTTAGTTAGGGCAGTTATTCAAGCATAAATATACATTCTAATAGAACTAGGACGGACAACACAGTTGATTGGAGATGACGTTCTAAAAATACACTGAGAGAAATACGAGTACTTAATAGGCATTTCTTATTAAGAAGGACAGTGTCCTACCATGAGATTTGACCTGGGATAAACTATTGGTGGAAAACCAAGTATCTAGATGAAATGACCCTTGAAAGATATCGGTGCACCCTAACTACAGGAACCTGTGAAATACATCACTTTACGTGACAAAAGGGATTTTGCAGATGTAACTAAAATAGGTTACCTGGATTATCTGAGTGGGCCCAGCCTAATTCTGGGGTCCCTCATGCATCTGGAACAAGAGAGCTGTGGCAGGAGAGGTGAGATATTCAAAGCACCAAGAGGGCGCCTGACCTACTGTTGCTGGTTTGAAGATAGAGAGAGCAATGTGATGTGGAATGCAGACTTAGGGGGCTGATGGCCAGCAAGGAAATAGGGACTTCAGCCCCGCAACTGTGGGTACTGAATTCTGCCAAAAACCTGAATGAGCTCAAAAGCAGATTTTCCTCCAGAACCTCCAGAAAATGGGCCAGGGTGGCCAGATGACTAGGGGCAGCCCCATACCCCAGAGCTGCTGAAATTATTTGAACTCGCCAGTTCTAAACCAGCTCATCCTGCCTTGCTTGTTCCTTCCTGTGGGGACCACAGTCAAGGCTCTTGCCCACTTTCCCCAGACCCTTTACCTCCCAACCAACTAGGGAGCTTCCTGGTGTGGCCCTAGAACTCTTTTCAGTGCATTTTATTTCTAGGGATTAGTAAGTATGAAAAACTTCTTCCATGACAGTCATTTCTGTCTTACAAAATCTAATCAGAACAACTGGGTGGCCTCAAAACAAGCACCAGTGTACATTAATGCACTTTAGATATCTTACAGTTTGTAAAGCCATAAACTATTATTATTATTATTAAGGCATTTAGCTCAGTTTACAATAAAAATGCAATTTTGATCTTGACGGTCTTTTGTGTTTTCTAAATTAGCTTTCCCAGCAATAAAGGTGATTCTGTGATTCTTTTCTGTCTCCTAGTAGCCTAGCGGCAGGGGCCAGCGGGGGTGGGGCGGGTGGTGGTGAAGCATTTGCCGTACTCCAACCCAAACACAGCCACGCTCCGCTTGTTTTCAGTTTTTAGTGTGTCATGCTTTTCCTTTTCTTTGGCCCTTTTCAGATCCCCCCTTTCTGCCCAGGGCACCCCTCTCTGCGTTCTTTGACTGATTTACTCCTCATTCAGCCTTCTCTGGGACTCCCCTCCTGTCCTCCCTAGATTAAGTTAGGAGACTTTCTTTTATGCTCCTGTACCATGCTGTGCTTCCCCTAACATAACTTGGTCAAACTGTAATTTAAATGTTACAGTCAACAAATTCCTGGCTTAATTGTTCCCTCTAAGACTTCCTACTAGGGTAGGGACCACATCTGATTTGATGTCTTCTTCTTGCCGAGTACCCTGTTGGCTCTAAATAAATTGTTATTGTTCGGATTAATGAACTGTAGCCAATGTAGCTCATTTTATCATTACAATTCTTTTCTATAGGAAACCCCAGGACTTTAGTTGTGGTTATACTGCTTCATTACTCGATTGTTGTTTGACCCTGCTTCTGTTCTTTTCCACACCCACAAGTTCTTCTTTGAATAAAAATACTTGGTTAGTACTATCTCAGTTTTAGGAACATGTTTATTTGAAAGTAATCTCCCTTCCTTCCAACAAATTAGATATTAAATTAAAAAAAATTGTTCTCAAATAACAAGAGTACTGTAGACAACCCATGAAATCCCCAATCTCTCTTACAGAACAAAACGATCAGACTTATTAAGGGGCTTTTGTTTACGTTTCCCTCTGGGGGATGATTCTCATTACCTCGCATTTGTGAAGCCTTCAACTTCCTTTTTTTGCGCCTTAATCGGCGTGGTAGAGATCCCGGTAAACCTTTATTCCTGAGAAGAGATGCAGTGCACACGTGAACCAGCAAACATCAGTTCCAGTCATCAGTTTTTGCTGACCGCAGTGACTGGAAGCATCACCGCAGAACTACAGTCACACCACCTCAGGGACCTGTCACTGTCACTTGCCAGCAGCTATAGGCCAAGCAGTGAGAAAGCCGCTGGCCATGGAGGCCCACCTCCCTGTGCCCTACACTTGCCCATCCCCCAAGCCCCCTTAACGAAGTCTGATTTCTCCCAGTTTGCAAAAGAGGGAACTGAGGCTCAGAGGGTTTGAACAGCTCATCCCAAGTCACACAGACAATAAGTGGAAGTCCGGGGAGTCACACCCAGGTTTTTCTGACTCTAAAGCTCAAAAATATAAGCCTTATGCTATTTCTATTTTTAGAGATATAAGTCGTTTCAAATTTTTAACTAATTTAAATAATCTTATGATGAATATCCTTATAGCAAAATTTTATATTTGTGATTATGTTATGACTTTAATTGCTAAATTATATTTTTACCAGCATATGAGAGACATAGAGATAGATCAGTCTCTCTCTCTATATATTTATATTTTGTATACATTTTCAGCATTTATTAGTTTAGGGGTATAATGATGTATTATGAAAAAATGAGCCCTGACTGGTGTGGCTCAGTGAATGAGTGCTAGCCTGTGAACCAAAAGCTCGCTGGTTCACTTCCCGGTCAGGGTGCATGCCTGGGTTGCAGGCCAGGTCCCCAGTTGGAGTGTGCAAGAGGCAACCGATGAATGTCTTTCTCGCACACTGATGTTTCTCTCTCTCTCTTTCTCCCTCCCTCCCACCCTCTCTAAAAGTAGATAAATAAAACCTTAAAAAAAGAAAAATAAGTTTACTTATAATATGATAATTTCAAAGTAAACATAATAATCATAATTTTATAAATTAATTTTATTTAAAATACATTTAGCTTTGATATGAATAGAACCAAAAGTTTTAAAAATATGGCATGCCTTAGTTTTTGTTTTTATAAGAAACAGTTTAAAAATGAAACTAGAGGAAACACTAAACATAGTACTCACATTTAGAAAATGATGGTTTATGAATTTGGTATCCCCTACCGTTTCTAGTAGATTCAAGTTACTTTCGAAGAAAGACTTAGGGGAGAAGGAGGCAGTAAGGTGTCATAATGCATCATTCTCAACTTTTTTGACATGGAATTTCATCTAATTAGTCTTATTTTCTCAGCTTTTACTCATTTCTTCTGCTAGTTTTTTCTTCTTATTACCTACTTAAACTTCTGAAAACTTTGCCTTTATTTGGATAGGTTATTTCATATTTATTGTATTTCTAAAAAGAAATAATTTTGTTTGCATTATATGAAAGATGCAGCCAATGGAAAAATATGTAGTTCTCAAGAAGCAAAAGGAAAATAGAAGGCCAGGCAGCGTAAAGTTTTTTTAGCTACATTTAAAAAAGGATAGTCTTGGCAGAATTTCAAGCCTTCTCTTGGATCAAACATGGGAAATAATGTTATTATTTTATAATGTCTTAAAGGGCTGAGGAACCGTAGATTTAGAACAAGCCCAGTCTAGCCTCTCGTCTTCTGTAGGAATTCAATCTACATGTGGTGTTGTCTAGTCTTTGCTCGCAGACTTCCAGGGTCAAGGAAGTCACTACTGCAATTCAGGGTAATGAGATCAAGGGATTTGGTTCCTCTAAGGTTGCCTTGCCCATATCACTCTAGAAAAATAATGTACTCCTGCAGCAATAGCATAATCAAGGACACTAGGAAAAATACCCTCACAACAGCACAGAAAATGGATAATTATGAGAGAGGAGAGAGGCTCTTCTTATGATCTGACACAGCATAATCAGTTATTAGTGGCCAGTGTTTATTGGAATTTGTTGTTATCAGACTAAGAAAAAGTGATTGTTAGTATCACAGGCAAACCTCCCTTCCTAATTTTATTTTTAGTACAACCATAGTCATCACTAATTTACTAGATTTCATTTTTTTTATGTTGTCCTGTCCGACCGTGCAAATGACAGCCCGTGGTGCTGCCCTTCCCACAAGCCTACCCCGCTCCCTGTGGCCACCTTAAACCCGATTTCCCGTTACTGGCTACATTGGAGCTACAGACCTTTTCTCTAGACTCTGACTTGCTTAGGGGCTTGGGTCTTCTTTATGGTCCTCTAAATGTAATCTCCTTTAAACTGGCACTCAGAAGATCTTAATCTCTAACTGACAATTTCTGAAGCCCTCTAGGATATTCTGTCCCCTCACACAAAAATACCCTCTCCTGTGGGAGAACAGGAAGGAGAACTCTTTGTCTCTCTAATCAAAAAGGGTATGTATATTTTTATTTTCATAAGGATCTTTATCTTTAATTCAGATGTTTGCCTTATAACTAACTTTATTGCAGAATAGATATTTGAAGAACATTCTAACTAGTTTCATCATAGTCTTTATGGGTGTTTAATACATTCATCACCTTAATAATTATTTATCTTAATAGATTTATCACCTTAATATATTCATTACTTACCTCTTGCCATGGGAGCTGGGTACTTTTTCTAGAGGATTCAGCTCAGATTTTGACTTAATGTCAGAAACTTCCATGTAGCTAGTAACTGTCTGAAATTTAGGAGGTACAATTAAGGATCACAGATTAATTTCTCTATATCCTTTTGCCGTTTTCCCAGCTCAAGACCTGGATTTTGAAGTCCAGGACCTAAAGGAATCATAATATGTACAAATTCAAGTTAGAGGTTTGTGCATAATTAGAAGGCATGTAGAAAGGCCCCTATTTCTAGTTCAAGGTCTCTAAACAAAATTTCTTCCCATTGTTCTCCCTTCAAATAATGTCATTCTGCTTCTATATAAAGATGAATGGCACAATGTGACTTGGAAAAAGTATCCTGGGAATATGTGGAAAAAGTTATTTAAGGACAACATTTATTTTTGAAATCAGTAGAACATGTCATGTTGTAATTGACAGAGGGTAAAATGTTATAGCACTTCCAAAATATTTACCTAATTATTTGTATCTTGGATACCGGCCTAGTAGTAAGCAGATTTTCCCAGGGTTTCCTTCTGGGAGGTCCGCCTGTGCCCTGCCATTTATTATGAATCCACAGGCCTTTCTTAAAAGTAGGAATGGGAGTGGGATACGATGCTGCTTTGCTACCCCAGGCCTTCCTGCCTGGACTCAGCCACTGTGGCCTCCCTAGTCCCCCTTTTCCACTTCTGCAGAGTTAGAGAATTAGAGCCTAAGGACCAGAAGCTGGGTTGATAGGACCTCTCACTTTTATTGTTGGTTTTATTTCTCCAATGGTCTTTTCAAAATGTAGAATGTATTAAGTGGTTCACTGAGACAAAATCTGGGTTGCTGATTTAGGAATATTAGATAGTCATATACTATTAAACCGTGAAGAAGTAGCCTCTGAATGTTTGGTTAGAGTTCAGTTTGTTTTCCCAGGTCTTTATCTCAGAGCCCAGAAAGCAGTTGTTTCTACACAACTCAAGGACATGTGCTGGAAATCTGGAAACCTACCACAGAGCTGGGAACTCCGGAGAGGCTCTACAATTTAGGCACTTGAAAGGTGCTGGGAAGTCATCCTCATGGCTCAAAATTATCATTACTTTAAAACACTACCTTCAATCTCTCATAGAGATGATGGGTTTTTGAAAAAGGACTTGGTGTAGATTCTCATGAAATTTGGAGATTTACCTACTTTTAGGTCATGCTACTTCCAACTTCTGGGCTTCAGTCAGATCAAGAATCCCATAAAGGGTTTGTTCCATCATGCAACTGTGACCTCATTCACTTCTCAGGCTCAGGCCCAGGGTGAGAATGACCCACAAGCTCCTGCTAGCTGTCGAACACCTGTGTTTTCAATGTGCCTCATTCACAGTCCTGGAGGTATGTGTATGGATTATAGAATCAGAACATTTGACACTGTAGGAATTTCAGGGAAGGCGAAAATGTTTTTAATACTGTATTAATATACTTTCATGTTAAACATTAGTGAACTGAAAGTTGTTCCAACAAAAAATTTTGCCTCACTGCCTTGGTTGAATGGTGATTAGGAACAATCCATTAGCTTTGGCCGGTGTGGCTCAGTGGATTGAGCACTGGCCTGTGAACCAAAGGGTCACTGGTTCGATTCCCACTCAGGGCACATGCCTGGGTTGCAGGCTGGGTCCCCAGTGGGGGACAGGTGAGAGGCAACCACACATGGATGTTTCTCTCCCTCTCTCCCACCCTTCCCCTCTGTCTAAAAATAAATAAACAAAATCTTTTTAAAAATCCATTAATTGTTTAAGCCTAGGAAGAGGAACAAAAAAAATCAGACTTTTTTAGTAGTGTATAGTATTATTGGAGTGATTTAAAAAGAGCAATTAAAGAAAGGATTATGACTGTTTTAATCAGAAACATTAATATTCAAGATCAAACATGTCTCATGTATTATAAACCCCCTAACACAGGAATTCGGGGTGTCTTTAGTCTTCATGATGGCTCAGCACAGATATCTCCAGTACCCAAGGCTCAGCTGGAGCCCCACCATTTTTTCAGGCTTTGCTCAGTAGCTCAGTTCTAGAGATTTCTTATTCCTGCTCTGGGGCGTTGATTACTATGGGCATAGATCCACTCTTCCCTCGTCTTTCCAGACTTGGTACATTGCCTCCCATTCTGGCCATGGATACACAGGGAAGAAAGGGAAGGTTTAACTTATAAATTAATTAAATAAATATTTAATAAAGGCCTGATATGTTCGGGTCTACCAAGATTTAAAATGGGCATAATGGCAGTTCCTATTGGATGGGGGTGTTGAGAACTAGAACTTTATTATTAACATCAATTTTGAAGATTGTGGTGAAATACACATAACATAAAATTTACTATCTTAACCATTTTAGGTGTACAGTTCAGTATTGTTAAGTAGTCACATTATCGTGCAACCAATCTCCAGAACCTTTTCATCTTGCACAAATGAAGCTCTGTGCTCATTAAACAATAGCTCCTCATTTCCACATTCCCTGCCTGGCTACCACCATTAAACTTTCTGTCTCTATGAATTTGACTGCTCCAGAAACGTCATATAAGTGGACTCATACGGTATTTGTATTTTTGTGACTGGCTTATTTAAATTAGTAATAATATCCTCAAGGTACATCCATGTTATAGCATGTGTCAGAATTTCCTTCCTTTTAATATTCCATTATATGGACCACATGCATCCATTTATCTGTCGATGGACACCTGGGTTGCTTCCACCTTTTAGCTACTACGAATAATGAATAATGCTGCTATGATACACTGGAGTGCAAATGTCTCTTTGTCCTCTGCTTTTAGTGTTTTGGATGTATACTCAGAAGTGGAATTGCTGGACCACATGGTAATTCTATTTTTAATTTTTGAAGAAAAATTGTTTTTCATAGTGGCCACCAACACTACCCACGGGTTTTCATTTCTCTGCATCTTCACAATACTTGCTTTTTGTTCTTCTGATAGTAGCCACCCTGTTGGCTGTGAGATGATACCTTCGTGGTTTGGATTGGCATTTCCCTAATGATTAATGATGATGTTGAGCATCTTTTCATGTGTTTATTGGCTATTTGTATATCTCCTGTGGAAAAATGCCTAGTCATGTCTTTTGTCCACTTTTTAATAGTTTTATTGCTGTTGTTATTGAGTTATAGGAGTTCTCTATGTATTCTGGACTCAAACCCCTAATCAGAGATGTGATTTCCAAATATTCTCCCACCCTCACTTCAGAACTCTGCACATATGTATCTCTAACATATTTATTCCTTCCCAACAACAAAATGGGAGGCTGGAACCTGAGGAATAGAAACAAAAATGAAGATTCCCCTATAGCAGGAATGGTGGCAGGATCTATTCAACTTTAAGCAGTTTCAGCAAAATAAGCACCCACTCCTCCTTGAGTTGGAGAATGAGGGAATGAGGCAATGTCAGTGGGATAACAGTATGAAATGACAGCAGCATAACTGAAGGAATGCAAAGCAGATACTGAGAATTCAAAGTAGAAAATCTGAATCATTAGTGAATAGAAGAAATATACATTCCCTGTAACCTACCCCTGAGTCTCTAGATATTAGAGAAGTGCTGGGTTTCCTTCATACCTGGTATATCACAAATATGTTGGTTTGTGAAAGTTGTTTGGTATACGCAGAAAAACAAGGTGGATTCTTATCAGATGCAGAGGTTGTTACAGATGGATTAAAGACCTAGATATGAAAGGTAAAACTATATAGTTAGAAGTAGTAGTAGAACAAGAAAATGAAATGGTGGCCACTTTGGCAATGGTAAATTCTGGTAATTGTACTGAAGTGATATTATGCAGAACCAGAATTAGATTGATTTATAGAAATGTGGGTAAATCTCCAAAACAAGAGTGTTGATTCACACCCACTGGGAAGGCTAGAATCAAAAAATCAGTAACAAGTGTTGACAAGGATGTGGAAAAATCAGAACCTTTATACATTGCTGGTGGGGAAGGAATACGGTGCAGCTAATTTGGAAAATAGTCTGGCAGTTCCCCAAGTGGTTATATGTAGAGTTACCTATGACCCTATGACCCAGCAATTCTACTCCTAGGTATATACCAAAGAGAAATGAGGTATATGTCCACACAAAAAGTTGCACACAAATATTTATAGCCACATTATTCATAATAGCCAAAAGGTGGAAACAATCCAAGTGACCATCAGCTAATGAATGAAACAAAATGTGGTATATCCATTCAAGAGGAGATTATTTGTCTATTAAAATGAAATACTAATACATACAACAACATGGATGTTATTTGGGGGCTGGACTCATGCCCTCAGGCACAAACTAACATGTTGGTTGTACTTGTGATTTTAGAAATGAAAGGCCAGACACCATCTTAATGTAACATTTTTTTCACCTTTTAGGCCCTTGACAGGCAAAGGGTGGTCCACAGACCAGAAGCATTGGTATCATTTGGGAGCTTGTTAGACATGCAGAATCTCTCAGGCTCCACCCCAGACCCGAATCTCACAGTCTGCTTGCAACAAGATGCCCAGGGGGTTCATATGCATATTCAAGATCGGGAAGCACTGTTCTAGGTGATACAGAGATAAAGGTCATTCTGAGGATTTTATATAGAAGATAACAAAGATACATTTCTAGGAAGATGACAGAATGTTAAAATAACCTCACCATTAAGTGTCGAGCAAGGCATCAGCTCCTTTATTTCTTCTTTTGTGAGCTCAATTGCCTCACTTGCTGGAGAGCTGTCTAAATCCTGGCTATCAATCACCTCTCCTCAGAAAAGGTGAGAAATAAATTGCATAAACATTATAAACTATCTACAAAGGATGAAAAACACTGTGCTTATATATCCCATTGCCCTTATATACCCAGAATTAACAGGAAGGTCAGAAAAAAATCCTTTGCCTTTAATTCTGGTTCAGAGAACCAGAGGTGGCTACAAAGAATGAAGGACATCATGGGTTAGGAGCTGACTGGTGGATTATTGCAAAATCCATAGCAAATTAAGCTACATGTAGGGATATGGTTTCACTTTTACTCTTCCTCTTTATCCCACTTGAAAATTCAATTTTCACAATGCAATATACAGATGATATATTATAGAATTGTACACCTGAAACCTATGTACTTTTATTAACCAATGTCACCCCAATAAATTCAATAAAAAAGGACAATTTAATTTTTCCTATAAATTAGTTTTTAATTTTTTATGTATTTTAAAAGTATTTGCTTGGAATTTGCTTCTCATCACTATGCTTTCCAAAAATTTTATTCATCTCAACCCAGTCAGAAGTAAGGTTCCCAGGTCCTGGGGCATGGGAGATTGTGGGCCAGGTCCTCAGTTGAGGCGTGGGAGAGGCAACAGATAAATGTTATCTCTTGGTACATTGATGTTTCTCTCCCTCTTTTTCTCCCTTCCTTACCCTCTCTCTAAAATAAAAAGAAACAAACAATACAATATTTTTAAAAGCATTTTTGGAGACACTATTTCTTCATGAGTCAGGACTAAGTCTTTATATTAACTTTTCTTCATTATGGTACTAAAAAGGCCACTTTCAGCAGTTGCACTAGAAGGACTCAGTGTTTCTCTGCAGGGGATAGAAACATCTGTGTAACACTCATCATCAGCCGGCACTTGGGTCATTTTCAGTTCCTCCAGTTCCTCATCCTTGAATCTAATTCCCACATCCGCCATAAGGTTCCCCTTTTTTAATTTTGCCTCTTGGTCCTTAGGAAAGAAGGGCATGGTTTACATAACTGTTATAAAAATAAGAACATGAGTGCTGATGTTTAAGAGTGAATAATGTTAATCATCGTCCTGCATCATAATCCCCAACTGGAGATACAGCACGGGCAATAAATGTTACTGCGTAAATTGGAAGATGGCAAAAAATGGCTGAAACCAGAAATCCTTCATAGTCATACTTAGGTTTAGCCACTAGATGGCATCACTTCCTCAGAGTGGGAAGATGTTTTAAATCTTCACCAAAAATGAATTTCCTATACATGGTTCTACCTCTCTGTAATGAAGATAAGAAATAAGATTACGATAGCTTTCAACTCATTTGCATGTGAAAGTTGTTCTAGACTCTCAGGGATCAGTAATGGAGAAGATTAAGGCCAAACATATCAGCAGTAAGCCAGGCACACGTTTGCCCGATGACCTGAAGGATGACTAGCTCTTTCAGTACATCACACTCTTCCAAAACCTCGCAGACCATGCGCCCGCAGAAAGCACGGGAGAGGAGAGGGGAGGGGGCACTGCATGAAAGAAGGTGAAGGGATTCACCAGAAAAACATGGACGCATAGCTCACAGGCAGACCATAGTGTGGTGATGGCCAGAGGGATTGCCGGGGGGGGGGGGGTGGCGAAGGGAAGATGGCAAAGAGGGCAAGAATGGGGCCATCATCAAAAGCATCAACAATAAAAATAAAGTATAAAAAAAGAAAGCACAGATATGGTATTCTTACATATTTAATCTTTCAGAGAAGTGTTCCATGTTGCTCATCATAGTATGTATGAATTCTTTAAAATTCACTTTTTTGTTGTTCTATTACAAAATTCATTTTTTTGGTGCCTAAAAAAACATTTTCTTCAGTATCTTCAAGTATTAAATAATTATAAAAATACTGGAAATATATCCAAGGAGATAACAATTATATTCATCACCTAATGCTTACCACTAAAAATATGTGGGAATGGCGAGGGAAGCAATTCAACTTTACAGGCAAAAAGTAAACACTGAAAAACATCAAGAAAATTAGTCAAAGTTCTACTAACAAGTATACAACATTTAAAATTTTTAACTTGCATTATCTTGTCCTAGCCTTTTAACAACTCAGTAAGATATGTAGGTGGAGAATTGGTGTGTTACTTTACATAACCACCCCCCCCCCCACACACACTTGTACATGGAATCAGTGATTTTTGCCCTAAAGTCACAAAAGGAAACACAAGATCAGACCTTAGAAGCAAGCTCTTGGCCCCTACTGTCTTCCACATCAGGCTTCAGGCTGCCATTCACACCAGCATCTAATGAAACCACTGAACATTTTAATAGTCATTTCATACCTAGAAAATGTCTTGTCTTTATTATATATAATCTCTCATAATATCCCATGTTAGAATGGATTTAAAACATTTCTAAAATTTTTCTAAAACCACAAATAAAGGTTTTCTATAGATATGATGAGTTTTTGACAACCTAGCCCTTTGCTTACCTCACTGAGAAAAAAAATATCTAATGCACCACACAATATAAAGCACAGCCTGTTCCCTGTTCCCAAGAGGCTGTGAGCAGTTTACTCCAAAGAGCACCAAGTCACTTTGTATTCTTGGCCGGATATTTGGAGACTTAAAAAAGAGAGAGAGACCTTGAAACATTCTACGGGAATGTTAGAGTTAGTGAAGATTTACATTCCCTACCAGGAATTATGACTCTCTAAAGCAATAAATTTCCTTATTTGTGATCATGTATATTTGAAACATAGAAAGAGTACTTGCAAACTGTACTAGTTATGATGCAGGGTAACAAATCAAACCACTATGAACCCACCACCAAGTCGAAAACCATCATCAAAACTGTTATATCTGCACTTTTTTGATTCATTCTCCTGCTTCCTCCACAAAGGGCACACTGCTGAATTTTTTTTAATTTACCAATCTCTTGCTTTTTATACATAATTTTAAACAGCGTAAACAAATTATTCCTTAATTTTTTTCAAACTCTGTAAAATTGTTATGCTGAGCAATCTGAGACTTGCTTTTCCAGTCACTATTATAGTGTCTAAGAATCATCCAAATAGCATATTGCTGTAATTCACTTTCACTGCTAGTGTTTTATTATACACCAATGGTATGTACAAAAATTTACTTC